TTACAAAATTTTGCACTACCGCGGGTACTTGTGAAAAAATTATACGCGCATCGACGACGTCTGTAAAGACTCGCTGACAGCAAGCGACTGACCTGACTGACTGACTGACTGACTGAGTTAAACCAGTAGTAATACATCTTAATTAATTTCTCTTAACACAGACAATCTTATCTTTAACGTTTGAGGAAATAGGAAAATTAAAATTACTGGATATATATAAGAATATGAAATTGATTCGTCAATTTACAAATCTCTTCGTTTTAAAACTTACATAAAAATGTTTTAAATCTGAATTTTTAATGTTATTAAATTACAAATATATATGTGTATATTTTTTAATTACCAGCAATGTAAGTCCATAGAACATTCATAACGGATGTCGCCAACACGTTTTGGGGATCGCAGGGTTTTCCGCGGTACCTCTTAAAGCATTTCAATATACTCATCATCTCATTTTGAATCTCTTTCTCCATTTTAGATTTTCCAAAGCCAACACTCCTTAACTGTTTTACCGCAAACAATCTTTGCTCTCTCCACAAAGGGCCATCAGCAAATGTTATACCTATGGATAACAATCATCAAATAAATTGGAAGTACTGACTCATAATTGTTAGTATAAAAAATGCTGCGTTTTCTAATACAAATATGTTATTACTGTTTTTGAACTTGCTAATATTAGGAACTGTCAAATGTATTTGAATTATGTGGCATTTTACAGTTCAATAATTTAAAATTTAATAGAAATAATTAGTCAACCTATTATAACGATTGTCGCTAATAGTCGATGCTTTCGTAATCTGGGATTTATATTTGGAGAAATTATTACCCAATCTCTTTCCAAGACAACGCAGTCTTATAAAAAAGTTATCTGGCCTGCCTTCGAATTCCTTCTCCGTGAACACTTGTCGAATATTTTTCTCTCCGTATACAACAACAACCAGTTCCATTCCCATTTTTAGGCCCAGGACAGAAGTTGAGAATTCCTTCGCCAAAGCTGAGAGAGCCTTCCATTGTGAACCATGTTGGATAGTCAACTCGTTTACAACATTGCTGCATCCTAAATATGGTATCCATTTCGGGCCTGTAACAAATACATTGAATGAAACAAAAAACAACCAAACTTGAAGTAAAAAAGCAGACTTAAAGAAACTGGGAAAGGTATCAATAGACGAAAGAAAAAATGTATTTGAAGATCATCTGTAAGTAAATTATTTCATCATCATCTCCTTCCTTACCCTACTCCCTTTATTCTCCACAACATATCTCTATCATACGTCACCTCAGTCATCACTGTCTTTTGATCATGTCACCTTTCACGCAATCCATCCATCTCTTTCTTGGTCTACCTCTACCGGTGTACCCTTCCACACTCAAAGCTAACTGTCTCCTTGTAACATGCAATTCATCCCTCCTCGTAACATGCACATACTAGGCTAACCTTTTACTCCTTACCTTCTCTACCACTGGTGCTACTCTCAAACTTCCTCTAATATACTCATTTCGTATCTTATCCATTTTTGTTACCCTACACATCCAACTTTCATCCTTTCTCGTCGTAAGTAAATTACTTATTACTCAAAAATAAGCAACTACATTAAATAAAACAAAAACTAGTTGTTCATTTGATAATATTAAGGGCCGCTGTAAGCTTTGTAGCTATATAATATACCGTTCCAAGAACCAAATGAGTTTTTACTTGTCATAGATTAAATCGTTTAGGCTACAGAAGTAATGTCAGTTGAGCAATTACTAAGTGTGCTGGTGTTATTAGTAACTTATATAAAAATATTTTAGTGCATTTCACATAATGGTGTAAATTGAAAATAAGATATAAAATCAAGTAAATTACGTTATGACACCTTGTAAAAGGTGATAAAAGAGCACGCCGTTAAATAACCACAGTCCATATGCAAGCGCAATAATAAACATCATAATCATTCCCTCTTTCTTGCAGAAATAATTATAATGACATTTTTAATTACCTATAGATCTTAGTTACTCTAATTACTTAGGATAAAACTTAACATTCTAACCTGAAACTAAACTAATACACAAGTGTTTAGTCTTGCTTTGATTCCTATAAGGTTATATATACGAGTAGGTGCAAACCACTTGATTTTTAGTTGTGCAACTCAACAATTGAATTCGCTGCGAAACAATCGACAATCGCACAACAGTTTTGTCAAAGATATGCGCCTGCTCCAATGATGAAATTTTCGTCAAAAGTAAAAAAAAATATACCTCTTTTTAATTTACAAGGACCATATGGCGGGTAGTATATTTGGAACTAACAGTACCATCTAATTTTTACCAACGAGGGAGAGACAACAGTAAGGATAAATGTCGCCATCTTTAAAATTTCATAATTCCAGAAAAAAATATCATGTGTGCTGGTTTAACACGTAGTTTATTTGCTGACTACGATTACTCTTTATTATTAATTTTATACAAAAAGTATAAAGCTTATCTCGTCTTTGCTTTAATACTAAAGCTGAATCAATTTGTGAATATGCAATAATTTAATTGGTAAACAGTTATTACGGATGCTTAGATGATAAGTTGCAAATTATTTTCATAGTAGCTTTCGCCTACGACTTCGTCCGCGTGGAATTAAAAAAGTGAATAGCCTATGTGTTCTTCCAGACTATCTTCTACATCGAAATTCCTTCAGGCGTTTAGGCTACAAACTCTAACAAACATCCATCCATCTAAACTTTTGAATTTATAATATTAGTATGATAATATTAATAAGAAAGATAGTTTGGTTTTGTTTGCAACATCGGAGAATTTAGAAAGAAGTTAAGGTTTTTTTGCTTACTGGTAACCCCAACTCTACCCCTGTCAATGTCAAAAAAGTGCCATAAGATTCTCGTAGCTCTATAATGTAGTTTAAAATCAAATAAAGAAAATGTTTATGACAGAAACTACAATGGTTTTCGAGGATCATTCATTGAATATTTCGCAAACAGTGCTTTTAGTAAAACCACTTTACGCGTACAAAGAGCAAAAAATATTTTCCATATTTTCAATAAAATTCGCTGAAGTATCACCGTCAATGCAAAAAATAAAAGCTTTTGATAATTGAATTATAATACTCATAAAAAGGCTTTATTATTTTTTTCTTTTTATAAAAAGGAGTTAAAAACAAAAGGTAAATGATTTTTTATGTCATTGTTTTCTTCGGAGACAGTTTTAGAAATATATAAAATGTAAACAGACAAATTGGTAACCTCCTTCTTTTGGGAAGTCTGTTATAAAGACAGATTAATGGACGAAATTAACGTTCGTCAATTTTTTAATCGGTATTACAACTTAATTTCTACTAAAACATGCCTACATATATCTGTTTTTTATTTAAGAATAAAATGGGTGGGTTTTTTAAAAATCGCTTCGACAATACCAACCCTCAGAAAAGAAATAGAATGACCGGACAACGATTTGATAATGTAAAAAAATATTGTGTATGAAAATGCATATAGTAAATACTTTGTTCCTTTTTTGTGAAATGTATTATCACAGAAGATGTGATGATCGTTATAAAGGTTCACGAGTTTGCATATTTTTTGTAAACCAGCTCTTGCCTGCGACTTTATCCACGCACTATAAACCAAAAAAAATACCCTATAGTATGCCCATCTGTCAGATACCCTTCAGGGAAAGTCAGGTCGAAATCGCTCCAGTCATTTCGGAGATAACCCGGAACAAACACGGTATACGGACAGACAGATAGACAAAAAAAAAATGCTATTTTCGCTATCAGCAACACATCATCTTCGAAATTTTTCTTTAGATGTTACAAACAGACACTTCAATTTTGTTATATGTATATAAGAGATATAGACAGAAGAATCTTTATAATGATGACGTTGACAAATTAATTACTCGTATTTTCAATTATGAGCTTACAAGAGCCGCGTTGATCTAGTTTTTTGTTTATTTTACAATCGTAAAATCATTACTTTACAATCGCTGAAGACAAGAATTTGCATAGCTTTCTACATAACATGATTATGTTAACAGGGTATGGGACGCTGTCAACTGAGACTTGAATTAACTACTGACCACAACCACTGCACAATACGTATGGTTAATAATGTAGAACACCGGACTTGTCAAGCCATTGTAGCGAAATGGCATTTACTGTGTTATGACGTCATTCATACGTGGTTAATTAAACGCATTGAATTATAAATGTATTTTTGCTTTCTAATAGGGTCACCTGATCATTATTTTTTTTCATCATTTTGTATGTTTAATGTTTCGCTTTGTATACGTTTTTATGTAATGTAACACCTTTATGAATTTATGAGTCTGCATTTTACGTATTATAAAAAGATAGTAAGCATTTGTAACGTATTTAAATTAAATTCCGACTAGCTGACCCGACAGACGTTGTCTCGTTTTTACTAATATTGTATACAGATATTCGGCTTTTTACATATTTATACATGATACTGCACAACTTCCTAGTTTCTTTATAAGAACCTGACAAAAATAATTAGCAAAGTTGCAACAGTTCACACAACCAGGAGAAATTGAGATACGTTTTTTTATTATCTTACTGTTATAAATGAAAATGTTAGGATGGATGGATTAAATAAAATACTCCTAGTATTTGTAGAACATGTTAAAAAAAACACATGGGCTACTAAAATCGTTTTTTTTTTCGCGTCTTAAGCGACATTTGGTAACTATTATGTATAAAATTATGTTGATACCGAACTACAAAATTAAATCCTAAAGCGACAATTTAAAAAATAACGTTTTTTTTTATCTTACGTAATCTGTGAAGAATATGTTAAGATGTTTTTGTATTTCAAAATTGAATTGAAAGGTGAATTGATTATTAAAAAAAATCTGTTAACGTACAGACAAATTAAGAACCTCCTTTTTTGTTGACGGTAAAAAAATATCGATTTGAGCAATGACATTTCGTACAAAAATTATTTTGAATTGTAGTGATCATTTTCTAGTTTCAAAGATGTTTTGTTATATTTTTTTAACTATAAAAGCTACGTACTAATCAATAAAAACTCATTTTTCCTTATGCGAGTTATGTGACAATTATTTATTTATTGTTCGCGTTGTAATAATTGACACACAATACTGTTAGATTAGACAAAATAAATGCTTTATTTCTATACCATTTCATGCTAAAATAAATTGGACCGTACAATAATTCCCAATGGCATTGTTGTTCTAAATTTAACTTGACAATTTGTGTTCAGCGGGCCATTTGTCATGTGGTATGCTATAATAGAATCAATACTCGAAAATATTTCCAAACACTCTACTCAATAAAAAACTTCTTTCCAAAAACTAAAACTGAACTTCAGTTTACTTTTACTTATACGATTTTGCACTTTTTTTAGACAATTTTATAAACTCCATACAGACTTAAACTGCAAATTATACATACCTGGCGGATAGTTTTTAGGTTTGATGACACTTTTAAAAATAACAATAATTATTATTATCAAAAGCAAAATAAATGATAGTGGAATCATTGCGTAAACTGACGTAAATGCGCGCGCGTCTATTTTACGATTGACAGACCGAGTGTCCACGTGTTACCACTTGAGACGACTACCGACTGACTGATCGTTACTGATCCAGTCCGATCCCTTTTAAACGATCCTTATAATCTTTATGGATAAAGTCGAATACATCAAATAAAGAGGACGAGGACAATATAGACGCCTAACGGTTATCAAATGTATTGCGTTTGCATTTATAGACGACGGAAAGTTATAAAATATATCCTCATTATCCTTATCTATTTTAAATGTTTTTTGTTCATTGAAAATTGCTAATATTACATTTATTTTCTTTAGAACTTCATACTGAATACTTGTTAATGATACTGACGCCGCACGTCAATTAAAATGTCTTCATAGAAATTGTCACCAATTATTATGTTGACGTCACACGTGTATTTTATTTTTATTCAGATCTTAGTAGCAGATATTCTGCTCTACACCATAGAAAAGGGGTGACGGACATTTATGCGAAAGTGCCATTTTTAAAGATATAATTAATGCGATCTTAGATGTACCATCGAATAATTTTGACTACGAATTG